GGAGGGCATCTGGGTTAGCGGCCGCGCCAGGCTGGAACCGACAAAAACAAATGTTCATCGCAGTGGGGAAACAGTTTGATATGTTGAAAGTCGGCGAAACATTCGATATGGCTCGAGGCGTGGTCAATCTAGGTGCTTGATACAAAGGCCGTATACCACTCGGGTAACTGTCAGGTGTTATTAACTGTATTCCCCGCTGGACCATCTCCACATATACCCAGGAGTATGTCTGTTCGCCTTTTTTAAGGTTGAATTTCTGATCCAAACAGGAGAAACTACATAAAGATAAAAGTAATCGTTTTCAAAGTTGTACTGAGTCAGTTTGTCATGCCGTTATTCAACTTGGTATAGCATAACTGAATAAAATCTCACATTTTGATTGGCTGACGAAGCGAGGTATTTCGCGTAGAATTGCGAATTGAAAACGAGACAAAGTGATATGTTTCGCATTTACATATACCTAAAAACTACCGTCAAATTGCTGTTTTCTTTTTTTTTTTTCTTATTTTTATTCAATTATGCGATTCAAGGAAAATCCATTACTGACACGTGAATTCCGCGCTCAATTGCACCTAAAAAAAAAACCGATGTCGGTCTTCGCTTGCAATTTAATGCGTAATTCCCTATGGTTGTTGTTCCAAGGTCTAACATTATCGAATGCTCATTATCAGTACACTTGGAAGGATTAACAAATTACACGCGCTAGACGAATTCTTGTATTGTTCACTGTACACGCACAAACCAAGCGCGCGAGACTGCAGTAACATTCTCGTATCCTCCGCTCTCGTCTTCAAAGCTGGCCAGGCAAAGTGCTATATTTCCCTTTATCTACAAGTGAAAACTAAACGAAGCAGATTTATTGCCAACTACCGTTCTTGAGCTTCAGGGTAGCTGTTCATTTCGTTTTAAGGCGCTATACTTAGTAAATAAACCCTTCGAACGGCTGGTATGGCGGCTGATAATGTCCGCGGCTGAGAGATTATCCGAAAAATGAATATTTGGCCGAGAACCGAAGCTTCGAGGGCAAATATGAAATTTTGAGGACAATCTCTCAGCCGCGGACATTATCAGCCGACATACCAACAAGCCAGAACGGGGTTTATATATTTTATAACCCTCCCATTAATTTTCCCATCGCAATTAAACTGCGCGTAAACACAGTAAAAAACCCAGTGGTGATCTGGTGGCGAATGCGCGTGATTGACGCAAGCAAGCAAAAAAAAAAACAGTTTGGTTTCCTTCCATGTAAATAGGAGAACGGAAAAGTTGAAACTCTTGTGTTGACTAGGTTTCTTTTTCACGGAAAAAATCGAAGAACAAATATCGACGCAGACGGGGGTTATTGCGTGATAACTGTCCTGTGATTTTGCACCACGTGACGTAGAGTAACCAATAAAATCGCGCCAAAATGAATGGGTGGGTTATAAACCAAAATACCAAACATTCACTGACACAAAATTAACTGAAGTACCATAGACATGAAAAAAATACTAGTATACGACATACAAAACCACCAGTGGGGCGTCAAATAACAAAACAAAACGAAACAAAACAAAACAAAAAAAAAACACAAAATTGGAGCATTGTGAAATCTTTAAAAAATTTACTGAAGCCTTCATAACAATTAATTTTTATGTCATTGTTTTTACATTTTTGTACTCTTAGATTAACTCGTCTTGTTCGGAGAGACAGCACAAAGAGACAGTAGGAATTGCAAGTAAAATCGATCGTTTGTGCTAGAAGACTGATTGCATTTCTCAAGTACTCTAGTGCAACTGTTAACGATGCCACCCTATGAAATGAAATTAAAGCATACGACTTAATTAAATTATCATTAACAATTAACTTTCGTTCACTCGTCTACCTTGCCGCAGATTGTCATCGCAGCCAGTTGTCAGTGAGATCAACTACTACTATGAGTCAAAGATCCAGCACCTAAAAGGAGCAAACCCGAAAAGGTGGTGGGACGAAACAAAACACCTGTGCGGCCTAAAGACCTCGAAGGATTCTCTGAACTGCCTTTCAAAGAGCAAGCCAATGCCATCAATGCCGCTCTTCTCAAACCACTGGAGGAGTATAAACTACCAGCTCCTCTTCAACGGGTTCCTCTCAAGTCCGACTCACCTGAGATCTTAAGGGTAACCGAACAGCGCGTGCAAAGAGCACTGGATGTCCTCAATCCAAGGAAGGCCTGCGGACTGGAGAAAACACCTAGCTGGCTGCTGAAAGAATACTGCAACCTGGTGGCCTATCCCATCACGGAAATCCTGAATGCCTCCCATGCTGAAAAGCGCCTTCCTGCCATCTGGAAAATGGCGGACGTGACTCCCCTTCCCAAAAAGAAACCAGTGGTCGACATCCAAAAGAATTTAGACCGATATCCCTGACCCCTTGTATTTCTAAAGTGGCAGAAGAGTTCATCGTGGATGGTTGCGTGAAACCTGCGGTCATGAACATCCTCGATGACAACCAGTACGGAACCATCCCAAATTCCTAAACTACAATGGCGCTAATTATGATATGCTGCACAGCTGGTCCTTGGGTACGGATGGAAACGGAGCCACCGAAGGAACATTATTATTGGACTACCGTAAAGCGTTTGATCAGTGAGAGATCATAGTATACTCGTTATAAAGTTGCGTAACCAGTGTAAATTACCAGCTAGCATTATCAACTGGATTATAGATTTTTTATCGGACAGATCTCAGCGGATTAAACTTGCATCAGAGTGTTTTTCTGAATGGGGCCCAGTCCCCGCTGGCGTACCACAGGGTACCAAGCTAGGCCCGTGGTTGTTCGTCCAAATGATTAACGACCTCGATACGAACGCACAGCAATGGAAATATGTGGACGACACCACGGTGTCTGAGGTAGTAGTTAAGGGCTCAGAAAGTCACGCGCAAGCAATAGCTTACAGAGTAATTGAGCGATCTCGCGAGAACAGGGTCCACTTAAACGCCGATAAGTGCAAAGAACTCAGGATCTCCTTTGCTAAAGAGCAAAAAGTCTTTGATCCCGTCATCACAGAAGGAAAGGAGGTAGAGTTAGTCACTAGTACAAAGCTACAAGGTCTTACAATAGCGAACGATCTAACATGGAACGACCATGTAACTGAGATAGCCAAAAAGGCTAGCAAGAGACTTTATTTCCTAACTCAGTTGAAGAGAGCGGGAGTCCCGAAAAAAGATCTAGCACTGTTCTACGTATCGTGCGTGAAATCTGTTATTGATTATGCAGCACCTGTCTTTTTTTAACGGTCTCCCCCAGTACTTATAAAGAAAGAGCTGGTACGGCTCGGGAAAAGAGTAATATCAATAACAACCTCAGGAAAGTGTAACTCGGCAATAGAGGTGGGGTTAACACCCATTTTGGAGCATTAATACGTACTATGTAGCAGGCTTTTTGATGACATTGTCAGTGATCCAAACCATAAAATGAAGGCGCTCCTTCCACCAGACCATGTCAACTCACGCTATAACCTAAGAAGACAGCGCCTTTTTAATATGCCAAAGCTTTGCACGAACAGAACAGGTTATACGTTTATATTTTTGCGATGTCGAAACAGTCCGGGCTGTAGTTTTGTCCCACTTATATTCATGTTTTATATTTTAACTTAGTATGATTTCAGAGCTGAGCAAAGAGTTTCCAGCAGTCTGATTGGTCGAGCGGTTCCTTATGTGACGCTATATAAACCGCTCCACGCGATTTATATAAAATGTTAAAATAAAATGTTAATAAATGTTACTAAAATGCTATGATTTTAGAAATTCCAATGTTGTTCAGCTCTGAAATCATACTAAAACAATTATTCGCCTCAGGTTCGGTTAAGTCGAATAATTCCCTCGACTTCGTCTCGGGGATTATTCAACGATATACATCTCGCCTTCGGCGAATGATTGTTAAATATTTATATGAATACGTTATATAGATTTTTTTGATATTATCTTAAAAATCAGTTTTCGATTTATTATCTAGGATTCATTTGTAATTTTCAAGTATTATAAAGCTTTTGCAAATAATTGCATAATTCAGCCTTTGGCTGAGATGCAGTTTTAATAAACTATCTATCCATCCATCTATCTATCTATCTATCTATCTATCTATCTATCTATCTATCTATCTATATTTTAAATGTTAAAAAGCCATTTTGATGTTTAAAATACTGCATGGTCTCACTCCCCCGTACCTGTCTGAAATGTTTACCCATAGCGCCTCTTTTCATGATTATGGACTGCGATCTTCCAGAATGAATCTTGCGCACAGATTTTTAAGAAACAGTTTTGCATTTACCGGAGCAAGAATCTGGAATGATTTGCCAAACAGTTTAAAGGAAGAAACTTAGGCAAGCTGGACTATTACTATCAGCACCAGCAAAACTAGTTCTAGAACATTAAGCTTTTTAATAGTAAATATATAACTTGTATTGCGTACGAATTTTATGTAAACCAAATTTTAATATTGCTGTATATTTTAATTTGATAAAATGCCGTATTTAAATAAAGGGTTCCATCCATCTACCAAAATTTGATCATCTTGAAAGTCTCTTCCTCTAGTTTCTGATCCAGAATCTCCATGTGATTCCAAATGTGGCGGGGATTCTCCACAAAGTTAGCTCGGCGAGGTCTGTTTGACAAGTCCGCCATAAGTTTGCTTTGTAGCCGCGCGTGAAAACAGAGCAGCTCCAGTCTTTTCCAGTTCCCGCCCTGCAGTGCGCGCGCTCTATGACTTTTGATATCTGCCTCGTCAGAATCAGTAAGTTGTTCTACAACTCTCTTTCATGGGAGATCAGAAATAGTGCGTTTACCCCATAAAAAATGATACTTAGAGATCTGGCTTTTTATTTTTTAAGTGGATGGTGGAAAATTTGTTGTTTTGACACTACTGTTTACGCTGGCTGTATGTATGAGTACTCGTTCGGATATTTAACTCTAGACACTTAACTGAAAATCGCTTTATAACAGACAACAATTGAAATTATAAATAAGACAAAAACAATTAAATTCTGAAAAATTGTTTTTATTTACACCATTTTAGTCTCCGTATAGTGACACAGCTATGTCTATATACAAGCTATTCAACAAATTCCTTTTTTTTTTCGTAAGGAGATGTAACCTCATTCTGTTTGTTTGAAGTTCGTTGTTTTAACTAACAGTACCCGCGGTCGAGGTTTGGGTGCCAGTAACGGGTGGGAGTGGAAGGGCCGCAGTGAGTGATGGGCCACCCACATCTTGCTGCGTGAGGAATGTGCTATCTCCCAGTGCTTCCTGTGTCCGCTCGGATGGTAGAGCCTTTGAATGGGAATCCGGAGGCGTTGGTTCAAGAGCTGGTGCCTTAAGTCTAGCAAAAGAAAGAAGAAAATAATTTGGATATATCAACAAAGTTGAAGTGATGCAGTAAATGGTTTGAACCGGGGGGTAACATGTGAAGGTGTAGTGACTAGGAGGCGCTCGTTTCCTGTTTTATAAGCGTGAAAGCAGTGGGAGAAGAATCGGGTAGCTCGGAAAGCGCTTCACCATCGTTTACTTACGAGATAAACAAGTAAGATTTGTAAAGTTATTTTCCGAAAGAGTCGGAATAAATACATTTTTTCAGGTTAGATTGCTGTTTTTACCCTAAACGTCGTCCAATAAAAATTTTTGTTGCAGCCTACTAATCTATACAATTTCGAAGGAAAATTAAATATTCAGATGCTTCACCGTCCCCGAAGGGGGTTCTGTCCTGATGTATCGGTTCACAAGGGAATTACCATCGTTCTCTCTTTGTTTAGGAGTTATCGGTTAGCTATTGTGTATTGTTTGGTCTTTTGTATTGGCTCTTGTGAACCGGTACACGGGGACAGAACCCCGAAGGGTCTCCACTCATCGAAGCGTGTATTGTAGCTAATGTAGTGAATTTTCAGTCTCTTGTTGGGTTTGTCAACCTCCGTGACTTCAATATCATACAATTTTGTATCTTTTCTCTGTGAAATGACCCTTTTAACAGGGGTGTATGCTGAGTATTCGTTGCAGAATCGCTTTGGTTCTCTTATCTGTCTCTTTGGCTTGTCCGCCATTTTGAAAATTTGCTCAGGAGGGCATCTGGGTTAGCGGCCGCGCCAGGCTGGAACCGACAAAAACAAATGTTCATCGCAGTGGGGAAACAGTTTGATATGTTGAAAGTCGGCGAAACATTCGATATGGCTCGAGGCGTGGTCAATCTAGGTGCTTGATACAAAGGCCGTATACCACTCGGGTAACTGTCAGGTGTTATTAACTGTATTCCCCGCTGGACCATCTCCACATATACCCAGGAGTATGTCTGTTCGCCTTTTTTAAGGTTGAATTTCTGATCCAAACAGGAGAAACTACATAAAGATAAAAGTAATCGTTTTCAAAGTTGTACTGAGTCAGTTTGTCATGCCGTTATTCAACTTGGTATAGCATAACTGAATAAAATCTCACATTTTGATTGGCTGACGAAGCGAGGTATTTCGCGTAGAATTGCGAATTGAAAACGAGACAAAGTGATATGTTTCGCATTTACATATACCTAAAAACTACCGTCAAATTGCTGTTTTCTTTTTTTTTTTTCTTATTTTTATTCAATTATGCGATTCAAGGAAAATCCATTACTGACACGTGAATTCCGCGCTCAATTGCACCTAAAAAAAAAACCGATGTCGGTCTTCGCTTGCAATTTAATGCGTAATTCCCTATGGTTGTTGTTCCAAGGTCTAACATTATCGAATGCTCATTATCAGTACACTTGGAAGGATTAACAAATTACACGCGCTAGACGAATTCTTGTATTGTTCACTGTACACGCACAAACCAAGCGCGCGAGACTGCAGTAACATTCTCGTATCCTCCGCTCTCGTCTTCAAAGCTGGCCAGGCAAAGTGCTATATTTCCCTTTATCTACAAGTGAAAACTAAACGAAGCAGATTTATTGCCAACTACCGTTCTTGAGCTTCAGGGTAGCTGTTCATTTCGTTTTAAGGCGCTATACTTAGTAAATAAACCCTTCGAACGGCTGGTATGGCGGCTGATAATGTCCGCGGCTGAGAGATTATCCGAAAAATGAATATTTGGCCGCGAAGCAAATATTCGCTCCGACGAAGGGCTAACGCTCGAAACGTCAGCATTTGTAATCGTTACGGTGGCCAGTTTACCACTTCAACTTTGTCGATATATCCAAATTATTTCGTTACTCCCACCGACGCGGCTCCAAACAGTTTCTTTCGAAACTATCAGCCTTTAAAGAAGAAAATACTCCAAGATGAACTAAATTCTCGAACCCCGGTCACTAAGAAGACACGCAGAAATATACCCTAGATTACATGTTGTAACGAACAACACGAACCGATATATGCGCAATACACAGAATTTTCCGAACCAGACAGGGAGCAAGGGAAAAATGTATTTACATTCGGCGGAACTAAACCATAAGTGGCTGTGACAAAGAATGTAAATATTTTCCTGGTGGTATGTTAGCACGTGGGCCGCTATGGCGTTAATTGAGTCTTTTGTTGTATAGCGTATTTGAGGTTTGACATTTGTAATGTAGTCATCTCAGCCCTCGCACTTTTCTAATTTTACGTTAAAATTTGATCTTGCATGTAATTAAGCTGTTTTACCTTTGACCCCCTGAGGTTGGTGCGCCTGCATTTGAAGGGGGAATACGTTCCCATTGGGTTTTTTTAATAAACCAATGGGAATACGTTCCCATTGGGTTTCCCATTGGGTTTTTTGGGTTTTCGTATCAGGCGGCGGCACAAAAACGTTTTAGCCCGAGAGGTGATGACTAGCTGTTTACTATTCTGTAATACTTTGTCGGACGGCATGAAATACTTGGGCTCCTAGTTCGAGCTGCACACCAACTTTAGTGTCTGAGTCATGAATTTAAATAGAAATAAAAGAAATGGACAAATGGTTGGATTTTTATGACAAACAAACAAACGATAAAAAAAAAAAAGCCTCTTTACTTCTAAGTCCCTCGCTTCATGATACAGTCGAGTTTAAAGGATGGAAAGTGCGGCCATACGGTAACTTCGCTTCCCGTCCGTAATTTGCCCAGCTCTACAATGTGATACCGCCGCATTTCTTGCGCGTTCTATTGCCCTTATAAAGCAAAAACAGCAGAGTAGTGGAAAACAAAGGTTAAGAATTGTTTCGTTATTCTCGTAAGTCATATTTACCCTCCCGAAGGATAGTAGACAGTACCACGTAACGGAAACTTTACATGGATACCAACGATATCATCGAATAATGGCAAACATCGTACCTTCTCTTTTCTTTGAAACCATTCATTTTTGCAAACAACATCCTTAGAATCCGCTCGCGCTGTTCCCAGGTTAGCTCAGACATGTCAACTTTTCCTTGGACCCCAGTCCACCGTTCGGCCTCTTTCAGGTCGTCAAACACATTGTTTGTGCTGCTGTCCATTTGGCGGAAGGTCCTGACGCGCGGGAAATCACTGTGGCCAGCGTGAGCCTCGAGCATGCGCTGTTGATAGGCATTTTGTGCGTCTTTTCGATATTGAATTCTAAAGAGAAAAAGTCGAAAAATAAGGAAACGGTTTGAGACAAACTCCATTCAGTGAACACAAAAAGCACTTAGCTATGACATAGCTTAGCACACTTAGCATAGTTCACTTCAAGGAATTATCACGTGTTAAATTTTAAGCAGAAACCCAGTATTGACCACGTTCGTACACTAAATTTCAGACAACATCCTTCAAAACGATATTGTTTTGCTTTTTTTGCTCTTTTTATTTCTTATTTCTTATTTTTGAAGTTAAAACAATGACGACAATTTTTAGGCATTTTGTCACCGTAACAAATCATTCTTCGCTTATCTACATCAGGGCTACTCACTAACAAAATACACTGATTTTATTACACGACTCGGGCAGTCAGAGGGCCAATAACTAAAATCAACCAATAAAAATGCTCTATTGCCGGTCAATATTCTCTCAGTATTGGACCGGGCACTGTCCCGAATGGTCCCGAATGATACTGCACTTGAGTCCCTTTGAACTTCAGTCGTATTATAAATCTCTTATTAACCAAGCTTGCTCGGGACCGTACTGGAAGAATATCGGCCCTCGGTCTTTTTTGTACGGACCTCGCTGCGCTCGATCCGTACTGTCAAGATCTCGGGCAGATATTCTCCCAGTACGGCCCTCGCGCCTGGTTAATAAGATATATGTATTCTATACAGAATCTTCTGTATATTTAGCACGTTTTTTTCCTCCCTCCTATTATGTAAAGCAAACTTTGCCGTTGGAACGTTTACGCTTGAGATTTCCAACCAGATATTTTAAGTTCATCGTAAATGGTAACCCCTTCTTTTCATCGATTCTTGCCTTCTTTATTTTCAAATTTTCAAAAGCAGAAAGTAAAGAGAATTGACAGCTTTTTTTAAAAATAATTTTTAACATGCTGGTGCAATTTTCTTAGTAATCATAACGGTCGCAAACATTTCCCGCCATCAACACGTTGCCTCATCTAAGTACCTGTTTCGGATGATTTCATTTTTGACGTACTCCAGAGAGTCCAAGAAAAACTGTTCGACTTCCGTTCTCTACAGTATATAAAAAAATTGTTAGATACTCAGGTTAACAATACTGCTGAACTCAAACGCGTATCTGATGTAACGTACTCTAACTTAATACATGTAGGTCAAAGTGAAACATTTGAACATGCGCAAATGATCTCACCTGATCTAAAATAGTTTTCGCCAATCTTTTGACACGATTCATCTCCTTTGTTTTAAGCTCCACTATTCTTTGTAGCCTCGAAATTTCAGCTCTGAAACAAATGGAGGGAAATCATTTCAAAATAAAGAAAAAGGAAACCATCGAATGAATAATTTACACTGATGGGTTAGTCATCTGCTTTGACAACAAAGTGTAAAAGGAAAAACCATAACAACCACACAAACAAACCCAAACCAAAAAATAACAACAACAACTGACATCGAACACAAAATTTAAAACACTCAAGCAGACAAATCCCTATCCTCAAATACAAAAGAAACAAAGAACAACCACCCCATAAAACACACACAGAATAAAGACTTACAAAAAAAACAAAGAAAAAAAATACAAATAAACGAGACTTAAAAAAAGACAAAGAAACGCAGTACGGAATTAAATGCAGTTCCCACTAAAGACACTGGACCGTATAGAATTTTAAAATGACTTCTTACCTACAACTTCTTGTTTCATACTCTGATTTCTGCACCAAAGACGCTCGTTCTGCCTCGAATTCACGCACCACGTGACTGAGAGATTTTTCCAATGTCTTCACTTTTTCTTGAAGCTAAGTTAGAGTATCAAAAGAGGACGTCATTCTACAGAAATTTCAAATGTAAATACACAATGTCGGTAGTCAACCTGGAATAAAGGCGCAAGAGAACTTAAGGAACCCTCATACCTCTTCAATTTCCTTTTTCTGCTGCTTGCTTTCAACAACTTTCTCTTGCACGATCATACCATTTAGCTCCTGTGTTTAACAAAATGTAATAAAAAGCGAAAAGGGTTACAAAACGTGTTTTTGTCTTCACAGTAGTCAGATCAGAGCTATACCAAATTTCATAGATACTGAGTGGATATCAAAGAAACAAACAAAACATTAATGAGACGAGAATATCCCAAACACGTATGAAGGATGCAAAAAGAAATAAAAGAAATAATGTAAAGGATACAAAAATAAGTAAAATAAAGAAAATAGACTGTATGTTGCTTCGTGAAAACCGAAGATAAAACCGCTTACTGGTAGCAAATACCCCGTATATCGATCATGATTCAACGTAACCTTAGTTTCTGCCATTCTTGCAAGTATGGGGGGATTTGCTTTGCGCACTCCGCTATAGTTCAATTTAAAGAAAATAACATTTTCCGAAAAGAAATTGCCCATTTCTTCAACTATTCTTACACACGGGGTCTATTTTCCCGCGCTTAACACAAATGGTGATATTTGTTGTGTAACTTCATCACCTCCGTACAAAATTCCACCTTCTAATTATAGAAAGTTGAAACGGAAATTTCACATTTTGCGTAGTTAAAGTTGACTCAACATCAAAACGTACCTTCTCAGATAAAAGACTGCTAGTCTTTGTACTCAAGGCTTGTTTTTCCTTTGAAAAAATAAGATGTAAACAAAATTATTTTGGAAATCAAGCATAAAAAAAACACAATCATGCAAGACATAAGAATAGAGAATTGTAGCATACAAGTAAACGTTATAATCGGGATTGTCATAATTCGACACCAAAGAAAAAAAGGCCTTAAGAATTTTTTCCACTAACTAATATTGTAGACGAACCTTCTTTAGTTCTTGTCCTTCCCTTATGTGAAAATCTAGGGCAGCATTTAACCGTACATTCTCTTTGTACACGGATCGTGTTGTTTCGTCAAGATTGCTAAAAATTCAAAGTAGAGAATGGCTCACACTTAATTGTAAATATTACTAATGCTAAGACTATTACATGTAACATCGATTTCTAGAACACCTTATGACATGTAATGTTAATTTCCTGAAATCAATGCAAATTTGGAAAATTGGCGTTATGATTTAAATGACCGTGAATATATGAAAGTCATATATGTGAGCTGCGAATGAAGAAATGAATACGAGAGCGATCTTCAGAGTAATGAATAACTACTTAACCAGAAGTGATAATATTAATTAAATCGCACGATTTTTCTTGGAATAGCGCGTTATTAATTAAATCGATCGTAGGGATACACAACTTCCATTTCCAGTGTAATCACCCCAGAAAATAGCATAGTTATTTTAGCACTTTGTTTTAATCAGAGGTGGAGATCAATCTGCATCAAAAAACAAAGCAGCGGACGCTCCAACTGGCGCGATTTTTAGCCTTCCTGGGTGAAAATTAATCTTTGATCTATCGAGCATCTTAAAGACGATTTTCAAGACGCCCTGAGGAACTTGACAAAGATCTTTGAAAAATTGTCAATACTCTTGCCAAGATCTTTCACTTTCTTATCATAAAACATTCCCATTAAATCGCTGAGGGCCCTAAAAACGCTTAAACAAGATCCTTAAAAGGATCTTTTTAAGATCTTTGAAAGATCCTCATGAAGTACGTCCTTAAGGATCTTGAAGGAAGATTTTCGCAAGGATTATTTTAAGCTCCTGATCAAATCCTTGAGGATCTTTGCAAAGATCTTCATATGAAAGGAAGATTTTTTTTAAATTTTTGAAAGATCCTAGTAAATTTTTCCTCGAGGATCTTGAAGGATCTTTATGCAAGTCGTTGCTATAGAAACTTTATTTCATGCAGGATCCATTAGGAGCCTGAGGGGATCTTCATCAAAACCTTGAGGACCTTGACAAACGATTTTGCATATATACACATTTAAGATCTTTTAAGGATCCTTTAAAGATCCTTGTTTTTAAGGATTTTTGGCAAGTCTTCAACGATCCTCAAAGATCCTTAACAATTCTGTGAGACTTTTCACCATAATTTCCATGTTGGAGATTTTTGCCCTAGTAAATTGATACTTTTTCCCTAATTTTTAACAAATTATGTTTCCTTGTTGAAGTCATCCCAATTCCCCTAATTTTGAAATGTTAACTTGATCCCCTTTCTCATTTCTCAAATTTCTTCCTCCATTTGCATTTAAATGCAAGTCACCTTTAGGTGCAATTGTATAGTGTAAAACTCTGGGCTTTTTATGAGAAAACTCCACAGTCTTGAGTCTTACAATTTTTTATTTCATATAATATCACAGGATCTTGCTTAAATTTTTCAGCAAGTCAGGGCCTTAAAAACTGATAGTTTTACTGGACTCCACAAAAATTAAATTCTGTGTGTTTTACCTTTAAGATTACACAATTACTAACAGTAACTTAATCATTACTTTATCCAATGAGAGGGGGTAAATATATGCACCTACTCTGCCTCCAGTTAGTCCATATGCCCTTGAAAATGCATACATATTAAATACCTGATGGCCTCTGAATGAGCTCTCTCTGCAAGTTCTGCAATCTTTTTACTTGCTTCTTGCTGTAATCGAACCTTTTCTTCAAAAAACTTGTGTTCCATTTGCTGCAATGTGTCCTTGTGGTGTCTTTCTGTGGCAGACATGCTCTCCTTAATCTGCATGATGACAAGAGTAACAATTTACCATTTTTATGGACAACTTCTGCTCCAAAAACCATAATTATTGATTTGCCTGCCATTAAAGGATACAGTGATCGATGCATACACGCTGTTTGAGATTACAACTCTTGATCCATTTTAATATTCCAAGGAAGAATTAACTTAGAACCTTTCATTAAATTGTCTTCAAAAGTGCTTACTGAATTCTACGACAAAAACTGCACCATTTGGAATCTTGCATGGCAATTAGGTTACCTTTACATTCTATCTTGAAGCTAACTTTTAAGATAGATCAAAAAGAGTTTTACCTCATCTAGCTCCCGCTGCATTTGGGCTCTCTTCCGTCTGAATTCCTTCACAAGTTTTAGCTCAGACTGCATCAGTTTAACCTAACAAGATGTTAAAAGAATTTCTAATAAAGTTTCTAATTAACATAAAATGATTGTATTCTTATCTGCTGATTAGAAACAGCGTGCTTTATTAGATAAACAAATGAAGTACCTATATTGCACCACTGACCAGTTTGCACAATGGTGGACCATTTCCCAACTTCCCAACCCCTTTTTTTTTCTACCCACAACTCTTGGATTTTGATTTTTGTCTGTTTCAGTACTGTGATTACAAATTAAAGAAGAAAACCTGAACCAATTGTTTAAAACAACAAAGAAGGCCTTTAAAAATTTCTTTACCTCATTGGTCTTCTCTGCCAAAGATTCCTGCAGTTGGTGAATCTGCTGTGAATACTCATCGACCTACAAAAGAGTGTCGCAGTCAAATTTAAGAGTCTCTCTCAAAATTACAAGTAGTACGGATCAAGAAAGAGAAACATTATACAGTTGGGTGGCATTCAAAGTGCAACTGTCAAATTTCTAAGAGCCAGTTGTCCATTCTAAGATCAAGAACATCCTTACATTATGTATGTTCCTCATAGCACAAAAAAAGGATAGAATGGTAAATAAAATGTAAAGTATACAAATCTTGCAAATTATGCTTTGTTGTTCTCATTCTTATTATCATAAGATTGTACATAATAATAATGCTTTGGTTTCCTAGAAATACACTTATTTTGATTGGCTTGAGACTTTCCTGTGTCTCAGTCTGCTTCATGCCACGAGGAGCACTTTTTTTAGATCACAATGAGAAGTTTGTACTGTAGATGGTAGATAATAAGTCAATTAAAAATATCTTTCTCACAAGAGCTTGCCGTTCTTTCCGTGCCTCCCTCTTCACTTCCTTTAGGGCCTGTTGAAGCTTGGAAACCTGAAATTATAACATCAAAACCATAAATGATAGTCATTATATGGCTAAATTTAACAACAATTTGTTAGAACAACATTGCATTAAAATGTGAAATCAATAAAAGAAACTAATATAGATCTAGTATATTGTCTTTGGCTCTTCCTTCAAGACATCCATTTAAAAGTGGGATATAGGAACATTAATTCCAGCAGCTGCATTTGGTATCTAATTTTTCAATTCTCTGAGCACAGAATTTGCAGTTAGTGAAAAAGGATTAAAGTGACTTAATTGGTAAAAATGACCTGTTATCAACAATGATCTTTGCAATAAAACTTATATGTAGTACCTGTTGGAACACGGTTATAGTATATTAATAAGTTTGTTTTCAGTTGTACACAATAAATTGTTTTGTGTTTTGTTTTTCATTTTATTGCTTTTATATGTTTTAGTTCTTCGATGTTTTTTCTTTTTACCGGTACTACAATATAGTTTTCTGGATATTATATCTAATAATATTTCTTACCTGATCATCTTTCTTGCTATCTTCTTGTTTCAAGTAAGATATGACATCTAACGTGTCCTTTTCAGTGCTGGCCATTTGCATTTGTAAGATATCATTCTCATACAACAAATGCTTGGCATTTTCTCTGTTTTCAAAAATAGTTTTCAGATTAAGTAAATTGTAAAATAAGTGGAATTAATATTCAGATCCTGGGAGTGTCACAAGATTATAATAACACAGACATCTTTGAGAAGCACACAGTGGCTGTATAGTCAGGAGCGAGCCCTAGTTGAACATTATTTTCCTTGCTTATAATACTACCAATCACCATCTGAAGCCCATCCATATTTATCTCTAAAACAAAGGCTTTCCAGTTGACTAATCGATATTGTCAGCAAATTAAACTTAGAATTACATGTAGTTGCATATCTCTTTTTAAAAGCTGTCTACAATTCTCAAACATGTTTGTGTTTACTTAAGCTCTCTGTTGACTTTCCTGTAAAACTTAACATATTCTATTGAATGAACTGAGGGCTCGACACTAATGGTAGCCAACTAGCTACAGACTCATAGAAATTCAGATTTGGCTAGTGGTTTTCAATTTCCACAGGCCAGTTTGGCAAGTAAACAAACTGAAATTGTCATAACATCCACAATGTCACTGGCCACTTGGCTAGTACCGGTAAGTTGAAAAGTTTAGTGTTGAGCCCTGTGAACTGAGGTTTTTCAGAGGAAATAAGAGTGTGTTTTTGTATCTATAATGTAAACTGCAGAATATAGATTGAACATATTGGCCTGCATGAGGATGAATTCACGTAATGTTAGGTCCCAAGTGGTTATAAGCACTCAGAACAGTTAATGCACAGTCAGGCCTGAATAACATTCTAGCTTTTTCACAAATCAAAAGCATGCAAGATAATTTAATGGTTTTATCAACTGAGTTGGCCTCTGTACATAGTTTCAATAGGTGATTTTTTGGACATTGGCCCTTGAGCGACATTGGGATAATGTTCAAAGCGTCGTCATGCAGCATTGGAAACTCGTTTCAGAGGCCAACTTACATTATTGACTGACAGCTGATAAAATCAAATTACAGAGTAAAAACCCATACCGATGCAGCACATATCCAAAGTTCCTACAAACTTTGTAAAAGAACTTTTTATAGATTAGTCAAACTCTATCAAGAAGTAATGCAAACATCAAGATGAGTATTACCTGTATTCTTGTCGAGATTTTTCCACAGCTTCCAATTTAGTTTCCCACAGCTTGGCATTAGCCATAGCATCTTTTAGAACTGATTCCTTCTTGGCCTTCTTTCCTTCTTTTTTACCTTTCTTCCTGTTGATTAATCAAACACTTTCAAGTTCAACCAGACAATTTGATGTTCAGGTTTGTAACACTTTCATGTCCATCCATGCTTTGAATTCTCCCAAACCTGTACAATTCTAACTTGATTTCAAAGCGCACATTTAATTTACACCGTGCATGTATCCATATGCCTACTTTGACATAACTCTTATGGTAAAATTTGTTTTATTTAAAGAAACCATTCAGAGGCTCCTACACGAATTGAGTACTTCAAGTACTCAATTCGTGTAGGAGCCTCTGAATGGTTCCTTTAAATAAAACAAATTTTACCATAACCCGTAATAACATATACATCAATCGATAAAATTTAAGTTTTGGTCAACTAAACAGTATAATTTTGATCTGAAATCGATTGAAAGTGTACTTGCGTTAAGTTTCATGCCAACTCAAAGAAAACTGTGCCTCTAAAGGTAAATTAATGACAAGCTCAATTGTACTAAGTACAAGAAATAAGGCAATGTTTTCCCGTCCTATCGTCTGCCGGAGCTGGGGTCGACGGTTAACTGACTAAAACGTAAATCAACTGCTATATTCTGTTGGAAAAAAGTGATTTTTCGGCGAAAAACGTACCCTCCCTTCTTCCCTTTTCCTCCTTTTGCTCCTTTTGCTCCTTTTGCTTTCTTTCCTTTTTTAGGCATTTTGTTCCTCGAAAATTAGGAAGAGTTCCCACCACGTAAACTAACTTCGGCCACAATAACTAACTTTCTCAAAATGGCTGACTCTTTTGGTGTACTCGTTTCTAGGCAACCTTTGTATACGCTCTAACGAAGAACATAAATGTCTTCACTAGGGTAGGGAGGAACCGCATAAACAAACTATCTCTCCTAGCCTACCCCTCCCATAGCTATTAAACTTTGTTTTGGCGAGTCCTGGGAACTAGTGGCGGTCAACTCTAAAAACAGAAACATTACGTATTGAACATGGCCGATTGAAAGCATTTCAAAATGGGTTAGTATATTTAGCAATGATCCGAGGTCATACTTTATAGTTTGTACGATTTGGAAGCAGTTAAAGACTCTAATTTTTCCTTCTTCCAACCATGCTTGGTTCAGGGTTTAGCAAGCAGAAACTTAAGGTGAATTTAAAGCTGGCCATCAACCGACTCAAGCTTCTGGAAAAGAAAAAGAGTGAGTGAATCTTTGACGTTTTAATTTGACATTTCGTAAGTTGTTACTCGTTTAACAGTGATACTAAATTGTCAAGCTCTTTGGAAATGCTTAGATCCTATGACTCTTTATAATGCAAGAGAATCTAACTGTACAATTTTCTACATCTCCTATGTATAGTATAACGCATGGAAATGTCTAGTATAACGCATGGAAATCCAGGCCAATTTTTTTGTGCTCTTTTACAGCGGAATTGACACAGAAAGCAAGGAAAGAAATCGCTGATTATCTCAACAATGGGAAAGACGACAGAGCGAGAATTAGAGTAAGTAAACGTAACAAATTGCGACTTAAAAGAATTTTAGTTTCGTTGAGAATGTTTATTTTCCAATGACATAAGATTTTAGATCAGGCATTCATCCACGTTCTTGTTTATGTAAAAGCCTTCATAAGTCAATATAATTATAATCTGTAGTTTTGCTAATGTCATCAAATCGGCTCATGACTTGCATTTGATCTATCAAATGCATTGTGCAATCAAGAGGATTATTTTTTGTTTTAATTTTACTCAACAGTAATCAGTAGCTATTGAACTGTTGAAATTTCTTGAGATTTACTGTTGCATATAGAGGCTCTGTGCTCTGGAATACCCTGACTTCCAAATGTACTCTTCTTGTTGATGCAAACCATCATGAACTTGCCAAAAAACTCAAAACTTCAAAAATTTTTAAGGCCGTTAGATTCAACGTAGTATCAGCATCGACCGCAAGTTTTGAACTGGAAGATTTTGTATACATCTAAATGTAAATTGATCGTTTCAATGTCGCACTTATGACATTCAATACGCTTTAATTTGCTTTAATTCTATTTAATGTTTAGCTGTATTTGATTTTAATTAAGTAGTATTTTATTGTACACGACCCCACAAGCTTTTAGCTTTCATACACGTCGTGTATAAATAAAGATAACCAACCAACCAACCATTTACTCTGCTTATAGTAAAAGTGAATCAAAATTGACGGGCCTTTCCCTTGAAGACTACCACTTTCAATTTAGACGAACACTGTCCGGGTGGACATCTCTACACACAATAAGTGTGCATACAATGATAGTTTCCCTTGTAAGGGACAAACCTTTGACTCAGAAATTATTTGTCAGGACGAACTGGGTGTGTCTGTAATAAAATCAATTTATTGGTAATGATGGTTGTACATTTACAAGGTGGAGCATATCATTCGAGAAGACTATTTAGTTGAAGCAATGGAGATGCTAGAATTGTTCTGTGACCTTCTGTTGGCCAGATTCGGTTTAATTGAGACCCAACAGTGAGTATATAATGTTTCATATCATTTAAGCCCTGGCCAAACAAGAAATGTTGCACCTCGCAACAAGATGCAACATTGTTGGGTCGTGAACCCAACATTTTCCCATTTGGCCACCCTGTTGCAAGTTGTTGTGACATGTTGGCACTTGTTAGATAAAGTTTGACGACTGTCAAACTTTCTTCACAACAAGAGCCAACATTTCCTTTGTTCGTGTCCACAATGCGTGAAATTTTCTCATTTGGCCAGGTCAACGCAACATGTTGCGCTAACACATGCATATCGCACACTCAAAATTCGTGTCCACAATGCAGATTCACGAAAGTGTTGCATGTTGTTGGATAGGGTTTTGCCACCCTCTTCCATGATAACATGTTGGGCGACCCAACAATGTTGTGTCTTGTTGCATGGCGCAGCATTTCTTGTTTGGCCAGGGCTTTAAAGTAGGTGATCAGGATTCCGATAAAAGCTTGTTATCCAGCATTTACCACCAGCTGTTAGACCCCTTAATGCCATCTGATTAGCCTGCAAGAAAGCTCTCTTGTTTGGGTTTGGTATGCAAAATCACAAATCACTGTTACACAGGCTACAGAGACAATAATTATTAAGGCCAGTTGATGTAAGGGGTGTGGAATTTCATCACCATCATCATCCCCTCCCCCATATAAAAAACATCACTGTGCCCCTTATCAGCCCAGTAAAGGCTTGGATGCTTAAATTTACAATTATTAACGTATTGAATATTTACATTGTGAATATTGACGTTATCAACATTGCCAATCCTAGTAGTATGCAGGACGTGTGTCATATAATTATGAGCTTCATAATGGGAATCTGTGGCACAGTGGTAGAGCCTCGGAGTACAGAAATCCGAAGGTCTGATTCCTCACCAGGACTCGGAATTTTTTTCTTTGTCCCATGCTTATCCAGAGTTCCCATTAGTTTTGATAGTTAAGGGGCCTTGGGACCCCCAGTTCCAAAAAGTTGGGGGTCCTTTTAGCTTTTTAGGGGTACCCTACCTTTTACTAAAATTTGATTTTATAGCTTATAACAGAGAGGCAAAAGCCAAGACCAGGTGTTAACGCTATCAATAGAGCTTTTAATTTTGGAATAAAGTGTGCTCATGTTTCTTAACACTGAACCATTAGTTTTCCGGTCGAATCATATTTTAACAACTGAAACTCCTCCAACCATTTAGGACAAAATTTGCATTTCTTCACTTGGGTATCATCCCCCAGCTCTGTATCACTTCCAGGTTTCCCCTTTCGAATATTGAATATATTGAATAAGCCCTTCTGAGTAGACATGCTCTTGACCATGACAAAATGGTGGGTCAAAGGACATGCCATAATGATCGCAGTAATTCTCGGGAAGGGCCCGCCAGACCCAGTCTCTTAACTAGTCGGAACCTTTTTCCCGCGTCCCGAGGACGCACATTGGAAAAAACAGTGCGTCCTTTTCATTTTTTGTGCATATAAGACACACACCTGTGCGTTAATGGGAACTCTGTTATCACTAGAAGACAAAACGTCTTTGTATTTCTTTATCAAGCTCAAAACTTACCATCTCTCTTATTCTTTACAAATAGTGAAAGTTACTCACAAGTGCAGTTAAAAACTATTTCTATTGATGATGTTAGATTCTGTGATGAAGGAATGATCGAGGCGGTCACAACTCTAATCTGGGCAGCACCTCGGCTTCAGTCAGATGTTCAGGAGCTACGAGTGGTAAGCCTTGCATGTGATGTTCCTCAAAAGTTCTATCATTGATTATCACAAATAATTTCCTAAATAGCAAATTATTACTGACAGATGTGAACCTTTATAACTGTGGGTCACATTTTCCACCCAACCCTCCCTCCCCTCCCATCCCTTTAATTCGTTGCAGTGGCTGTTTTGTTCCAAATTCTCTTCTCAAATAAAGCCAACATCACTGGGGTGCACAGCATCTGAGAAGAGTGAAAAAAAAATGCAAAATAATCATAAGTATAATCATGATAATAATTGAATACAGATTAACAGAGCTTCACAAGGCCTATTTAAAGATTAAAATGAAATTGATTGATAAAGAATGAATGAAATCAGATGTAAAAATTATGTTGACAGAAGTCTTATTTTTTTTCCCTAATGTTGCCTATTTGTACATCTAAAGATTTTAATGGCTTTTGCCATTTTAAACAGATCTCTGACCAGCTGGGACTGAAGTATGGCAAAAAGTTTGGACATGAAGCCACAATCAATGCCAATAGCACAGTGAACCAAAGAGTAAGTGTTAACTTCACTGTAATAAATTTGACAATTCCTGAGAGCTTCTATGTCACACTGTAGGTTTATTCAATATTATAACTTAGTTTCTCAGAACAAAAAAATCCAAATGAAAAACAAAACTGCCCACTGAATAAGGGTGTGGCTTTAAACTATTATAGTTTGTTATCCAGACAAAGAATATAAATTAAAGTATTTAGTGGCACACTAGCTGAAAACTGGTAAAATGTATTCATTAAAGAAATGGTGTAGAGACTGTCACTTAAAAGTGCAGTCAACTCTCTTGCAGGTGGACACCATGGGGAATTGGAAAAAAGTGTTTGTTAGTTGTCAGAACTGTCTACCAACCAGAATTAAACTTCCATAAGCAGACACAAACAAAACTTGGGTGGATGTTTGCTTACAGGAGGCCAAGTGTTCTGTTGGACTCTTGTTTGTGTTAAATGAACAGACAGCTTACTTTCCTTCAGACAAATGGAGATTTGACAAAATGTATCCATGCCATTCTGTTACTCTGTAAGGTCATATTTTGGATGATATTCAAATGTAAGACAAATTTCATTTCCAAGAGTCCATTATTTTGTGGGGTTCCTGCTTACAAGGGAACGTAAACAAAAAAACATCAATTTTCTCCATAAAAAGATTAACTGCATCTGCTTACAGAAATGTGTTGATACAGAGTTTGACTGGGAGGCAATAACAGGAATTGAAAAAGAGTGTCCATAAGTAGTGTTCACTCACAACAGTGTTCATTAACCAAGAGGGGACTGTATTTATTTATCAGCTCTGAAATCAGAGTACAATTATTTGTTAGACCTAATTTGGTTTCAGGCTTTTGACAGCAACATTCAATGATGCATTTTAAGAGCACAGCATGTTAATATTTAGAGTTTTACAGCATTTTATAGAATTGCTTGTTATTTCATGATAACAATTCAGCTGATTTCTCACTAACAACATTCCAGAAACAATGTTCCTGCTGCATTAGTTTTATGTAGATGACTGGCAGAAGTCTGTTGCTGTTCTTAGTCTGCAAAATAAGTGTTCTGGCTTACCAACTACAAGCCCTAGATACAACAGACTCCTGAAAGATATTTGATTTAAAAGAATATTCTATCAATTTTATTGTATTTTGCAGCTCATCCTGAAACTAGATCCTCGACCACCACCAAAGACGTTAGTGGAAAATTATTTGATAGAGATTGCTCGCAGTCATGGTGTACAGTTTGAACCTGACCCATCAGTGATAGGAGTAAGTAGATACTCTTGGAAGCTCCAATCTGTAATTCCTGATAAAAGTAAAAAGAGTCTGCTCTGGAGCTAAGTGGCTTGTTAAGCAGCAGCTTTTTGCAAGTTATGGAGCATTCAGGTTACACTACACCCCCTGTACGAGGTACCAGTCCTGATACCTCCAGCCAATGCCATCAGCTAATGACACTTGCCATTGCCATTATCCAATTCCACCAGCCAATGCCATTATTCCATGCCACCAGTCAATGCCATTAGCCAATGCCATTAGCCAATGTCACTAGCCAATGCTATTATCCAATGCCGCCAGCCAACGTCATTATCCAATGCCATTATTCACTGCCATTAGCCAATGCCATTATTTAATGCAACCAGTCAATGCCTTTATCCAGTGCCATTATCCAATACCACCAGCCAATGCCACCAGCCAATGTCATTATCCAATGCCATTGTCCAATGCCACCAGCCAATGCCACCATCCAATGCCACCAGCTGATGTTATTAGCCAATGCCATTATCCAGTACCTCCAGCCAATGCCATTATCCAATGCCACCAGTCAATGCCACCAGCCATTGTTATTATCCAATGCCACCAGCCAATACCATTATCCAGTGCCACCAGCCAATGTCACTAGCCAATGCCACCAGCCAGTGTTACCAGCCAATGCCACCAGCCAGTGTTACCAGCCAATGCAACTAGACAATTGTCACCAGACCATGGTACTAGCCACTAGCCAATTTCAATTAGCCATTCCACTAGCCAATGCCACCAAACAATGCCACTTAAGCCTATGTCACTAACAGTATGCTACTTCCACTGAATAGGAGTCCATGCTAGGGCTACCCTCCCTCCCCCCCAGCATTTATCTGAGGCTTCCCTAGTTTTGTCTGCTGCTATCCATTGATAATACTGGGTGGAGAGAAGTTTGCCAAAGAACACAACACTATGATGTGGTCAAGTCTAGATCCAGGAATCCTCTACTAGAGTCCAGTAAGCTTAGTCCATTTAAGGCCACTGCATCTTCTACTACTTTCTTTTAAGGCATAATAATAAGCTGCCTTTCTACTTAGCTAAAAGTATGCATTTCTCAGAGATAAAAGTTGTTTTTCCTTGAGCAGAAAATACCCATATTACTTTTGAAATAATTACAGTTGTACAGTGAGTGAGACAATCATATACCTTAGTTTGTTTCAGCACTTGATTTTAGCAAATGCTCCCAATGAAGCATAAAATGGTCAATGAACTCCAGAAATTTATCTCACATCAACTGAAAATTAAAGCTTTAGACTCTCGCTTAATGATTGAAAAATTAATATTGCAAATTTTTTTTGATAGGAAGCTCAGTTACCTCCTGATGACGACATCAAGCCAAGGCCACCTGGCGGAGGATGTTCTAGTGGTGGAGGAAGTCACATTGGGTTTGAGGGCTATGGAGGAAGCTTTGATGGGCCCAGTATTCCGCCAATGTCAGGTGGTAACATGGGATATGCGTACCCTCCACCATCACATGTAAGTGGTTGTTCCACCATAACTACATGCGTGTACACTGTCATAGTTTACATGTATGCTGCCTCATACAAGTCATGAAAAACCTTGACAGAGGAATTAGTTAGTACTCTTAATTTTGGTTATATCAACAAAGTTGAACAGAAATGGTAAATTGGCCACCGTAACGATTACAAAAGCTGACATTTCGAACATTAGCCCTTGGTCAGAGCGAATTTTGGTGTGGGGGCTATAGAAATATGCTGAAAAATGAGAGAATCACCCAAGTGCACCCTATTTCATTTATTTGTTAATGTACTCAGGGTTCTTAATATATTTTTGTACTGCTTTTATTATGCTACTTTACTCTAAAATACATGGCCTGTGGCCATGTCTCTTGAGCCCCTAGGGCCGAGCTGCTAGGGGGCCTTTTGCTTTGCAGTGGCAGTGTTTTAGCATGTTCGAAGATAACATCTGCGAAAGGCTTTGTGTAGAATTTTCAAATTTGATATGGCAGCCATATTTCAACATTGTGGAGGACAGTGTTGCAAATTCTGTGGTCTGCTGACAGGCTATCCATTTCAAAAACTAACACCAACTAACAGTCAATACTAAATGCAGTTATCCTTAAAAAGTCCTTCTCTTATTTATTTTGCATTTAATAGAAGAATTTGATCTACTAGTCAAAGCTCTTTGAAGCTGTAACACTTTCCAGTGACCCCTGTGACACTGGTGTTATGGGTTCAATGGACAGAGCTGAATAATGTATATGCATGCCCTAGGTTTTGCCCCAGAAACACAGATTTTGAGTCGTTCTCATGGTTGATTTCCTATTCTGTTGCTTCAAGGCGTCGTTTTCCTTGCCACTTTTCTTTTACAGAACAACCTCAAAAAACTTAGTACAGCCCCTAAAAATTTTCAAAAATTAATTTTCTCCTTAAAACCACTGGAAATAGGAAAATGCATTCGACGAAAACAGAGTTCCTCGGTTTTAAAAGTTGGCCCTTATTATTTTGCACTAATTTTGCTAAACTTTAGACCTGAGGACACTTGAGCCCATGTTGTTGACCACATACTCTCTGATGTAGCATTTCATTATTCAGCTCTGTGGGTTCAACCAAGAACCCTCTGGTAGTAGAACACAAAGAGAGATACTTAACACAATATTGCATGATGTACTTTTATCCCCACTACTCCCAAGAGCTCATTTACTAAGTATAAATTCCCCTTACAATCTTCCATGCAATTGTAATATAATGTTAGCTCAGTGTATTTTGCTATTGGATCAACTTCTCATTACTTGTCTGCTTGGTATTGTATCGATATTGTAAGGAGAAGTTCTGTCTTGGTCACTTATGGTTATTAAAGGGTTGAGATCCTAAATTAATTCTCTTGGCCTTGGACATAACTTAAAAAAAAATCTTGCTAAGATCTCAAGAAAAATGTTGAGTACAATCAAAAAGATATTGTAAAGTGAAATTCTGTCTTGGTCCTTGATGGGAGTTTATGGGTTAATATTGTCTATGGTGCTTGTCATTGGTGGAAGAAAATGTAATGTAGTTGAAGTCTCCAGTCTAAATAAGGTTTTTATAGTCAACCTTGATGGTAATTAAATAAATACACCATTTTCAATATATCAAAATTCAAACTGGGCTCTGAGGCTTGAGGGAATAAAACAATAGAATTTGCTTAAAGGTTGAGGGATGAATTATTGATTTCTTTTGTTTTATTACTGCAAGCCTGGAAGCCATATTAGAAATTTAATCTATCAAAAATGGCCTATTGCTTTTGGAGGCTTTCACTAAGGACTAAGTGACATCTAAAGGCATGGTACTGGATCACTTAACTGGGGAAAGAGAGGGTCTCAAAATATCACATAGTATTTGCTACTTGGTGATTTATTACAATTTGTCAAATATGAAAATAATGATATTCAGATGGCCACATCTTTTCTTCTCAACAGGGAAATGTTCCACCCTACCCCTCTGGTCCAGCAGATGTACCACCCAGCTACCCCTCAGCAAAAAAGCTACCCCCCTACCCTGGGGGCCCTCTGAACAACCACAATGCTGGTCCCCCACCACCAGGTAAGTTTAGACAATGTTAGTTCTTTGGTATGTTTACCATAACTTGACATTTTCTCTTCAGTTTTGCAAGTGTTATGATGTGCCAGTGGTTTTGTGTGGGTACATTATAATATTATACCCTTGCCTTTTGGACTGCTATAATTGTTCAACAAGCTACTTTTACAATATCAGGAGCATTGTCCCACAAAGAAATGATCAGAAAAGGCAAATTAAAAGCTACATGCAGGGCTCTACACTAACAGTAGCCAACTAGCCACAGAAGAAATTCAGTTTTGGCCAGTGGTTTTTGATTTCCACAAGCCAGTTTAGCCAGTAAACAAACTGAAATTGTTGTAACATCTATTTGTTGTCACTAGCCACTTGGCTAGTAAGTTGAAAAGTTAGTGTTGAGCCCTGTATATGTAGAGGGTGTTTTCTTTCACAAAAATTCTCTAACTACTGTAAAAGCCCGCAGATAAGCCGCACCCGGAATTTAGCAACTCAAACTTTGGAAAAAGAGTCTTTTGATAGAAATCAAAAGAAATCCAAAGTCGAATCTTGAGAAGTCTTCTTCATGATCATCCACTGTTCATTGAACATAAACTCATTATTAACATTGCAATGAAAAATACTTCAGTGTTACCCACAATTTTAGCACTTTAATATAGTGAACATCATTTCTGCCAACTTTGACATTATGATTGTTCTTTTTCTGGTATTTGTGACAGGAATTTCTTCATTCAACACAGTTTTTCCATAGATTTTTGCATTACAACAAGAACGTGAGCAGAACATTGGAAGCTTAGTAACGTGGCATTAGATCGAATGCAAAAAATGGACATTTTCAAATGTTCCCACAGATAAGCTGCATCCCCAATTTCTAGCGACAATTTTTGGAAAAAAAGTGAGGCTAACAGGGCTCGACACTAACTGTTCAACTTACTAGCCAATTGGCTTGTGACATCTTAGATGTTTTTAGATGTTACGACAATTTCAGTCTGTGGCTAGTGGGCTACCATTAGTGTCGAGCCCTGGCTAATCCGTGAGCTTTTATGGTAACCCCTTAAACCAGAACATCAGTGTTCACATTCTCTGTACTGTTCGCTATACATTTCCCATGTTACTGACAAGGAGAATTTGTTTAAATTAGTCAAGTTACAATTATAATTATTGTTTTCTGTGGGCAGCTACTGACAAAGTTATGACATGGCTTCTTTTTTTCAGCTCCTCACCAGCCTCCTGCTCCCAGTGCACCACGCCCTTCATCAGGCCCCAGTTTCCCAGACCTTCCTGCAGTACCAACAGATTTACCAAACTTACCTGACAATATCCCAGGGGGAAACAGTGCAGGCGGTGAAGATGTAGACTTTGATGATCTTACCAGAAGATTCGAAGATCTTAAGAAGAAGAAGTAGTAGACTGTGCAAAAAATGTCTGTTAATTGTGACATGTAATCAAGCTTGGAGCCTTTCAATACAATTTTGTAGTCACCGGTAAATCTGCCTTTTGTACTAGCAATTTTATGCCAGTCACTCTGGATGGGGGTTGTAGCAATTTTCACTTGGTGTACAAAGAAATCCATGATTCCATTAGGTTTCTTTTTCTCTGAACTTTGTGATTGGTCCTCAAAACATGTGTCATCCACTCAATTAATTAGATATAAAATGACTGTATATGTAAAGCAATCAGGGCTTATGAATTAAAGGGGTAAGTTTCTAAAGAAACTGTGGTGCTGCATGGGTGGAAGTAACAAGGTAATTTTGGTTTTATGTTCTGAGTTGATAATGTTAAGTGACCACTGTAAAGAGTTTGAAAGCTGACGTTTCAACTGTTAGGGCTCATGCTTGAGATGTCAGCTTCAACAGCCTTTACAATGGCCAATTAACATTATCAAATCTGTTGATTAAACCAAAACTGCAATCAAGGCTTAGTTACTCCAGACATCTAGCCAAGGTTTTTTTTTACAATTATTGAACTTTGGGTCCTTTCTATCGTGTTGCCTTTATACAATTGCCTTTATCTCATTACCTGTTGTGTTTATTTTTGGTTTTATATCTCTGAATCAAGGAGTGCTTTCCTCTGGCCTCCATCCATGTTGTAGTACATCTGTAGAGCAAAAGATTACAGAAGCATCAAAATGTGTTGACAGAGATAAATTAAGAGGCCTACAACACATGGCCAAATGTATCACTAAATTAAATGGTCCTCCTAAAACTTTGATGTCTTCTGTGATTTATTACTGCACGGACCCACAGCAGCATGGAATCTACTTGTTTTATATGGTAACAAAGCAAAATTTGTTAATGGTGATGTCATCTTTGCATCTGTTCTCCAATGCATCCTGAGCCATGAGCATTTGAACCAATCAAAATGCATGCATAATTCAGCTTATTGTAAAATTTCAAATAATGCACAGTGTATGTATGTTCACAGAATTGCCAAAAGTGATTAAGATTAGATTTTTTTCTTATTTGTTTACTTTTGTTGTTGCTATTGTTTTGGTTATTTTTTGATGTTTTTGTTGTTGTTGTTTTTAATTAATTTTCTGCTGTTATTATTGTTTGAATTATTGTTATTATCATTATCATTACAATTGTTATCATTATTATTATTATTATTATTATTATTATTTAATACTATTATTATCAGTATCATTGGCTTTATTTTTTTATTAGTATCACCTATTGGTTTGACATTAGGAAAAAACCCAGCATACCACATAGTTTTTCCAAGTGCTCACTCTAATTGTTTATTTATAATGGTATCCATAATCATGTTAAATATTGGTGTAAAAGAGCATTTGATTCATGTCAACTCTATTAAGGTTTCAAATCCACTGATATTACGCATATTCACAGATTAGTTTTGACTACTGCAATAACCAAAAATACATTTTGTGGCAATTTGTTTTGAAAATACTCTTATAAGCATTACCGGTAATTTGATCTGCCTTTCCACCATTAGAGCTGACAATGATAACTGCTGACACAAGGTACATGTTCTGTTAATCAGCTAGGTTAAAACTTACAAAGTATAGTCAGTCTATCTTAATCCAGCAATTTGTACAAGACTAACTTAATTGTAAGTTCATTTGAAGCTTATTAAAAAGGTTATTGTTCTATGCATCACTGCATAGCTAATTAACCCTTTACATAGCAACAATAGTACGCATATTCTCCATACTGATCTCTATACATTTCCTAAAATCCTGACACGGAGAATTTGTGTTACAATTAAGATCTTTAGTCAGTGATATCATATCCTTTTTCCTCAGGACCTCAATATGTGATTTAGGGGTCAGAGCTCGACACCAACGGTAGCCGATTAGCCACAGATTAGTAGAAATTCAGTTTGGGCCAGTGGTTTTCAATTTCCACAAACCAGTTTTGCTAGTAAACAAACTGAAATTGTCATAACATCTAAGATGTCACTAGCCACTTGGCTAGTAAGTTGAAAAGTTAATAATGTCGAGCCCTGGAGGTGATATTGTAAGAAGAAATTAGATACTAGTCGCTGTAAGGGATCTAAGGGTTTAAAGATGTAGCCCCTCTGACATTTTTCCTCCTAGCTTGGTGGATACAAAATGGATGCAGTTTTGTTTCAGTCACATCTTATAACTTGAACTTTTCTAAAATTTTCTTCTGCAAAAATAAAGCAATTTTTTTTTCTCCCAACAAAATTAATGTTGAACATACTTCGTTTTGTGTGAGTTTTGGTTTATTTGTTTTGTTTATGCTTGTTTTGTTCTGTTTTTGTTATTATTATAATTATTATTATAATTACATTTATAATTATTATTATAATTAAACTTTTTAGCTCTTTTAATTTTAAGCTGATGCGTACGCTTACCATATTTGTAGATTATGGTATATTGGCTCATGTACCATAATGGCTAAGCCAATGAAAAGTCTTGCATTTCATTATCCAATGATCCAGTTTTTAATAAATATACATATACAGAGCTGGAAATAACAGTCGGTCATCGGACATTGTCTGACCAAATTTTGAATATGTCCGACCAATTTCACATTATGACCGGACGTGATGTCCGAACATTTCACCGACACAATTCCGTGGAGGTTGCTTAGAGAGATTGTTTGAGCTGTATTGGAAAGGTAACTCGTAAAGCAGAAGTATTCCAAATAAATCGCCCTACAATGCACTGCGTGCGTTATGATAAGCTGTTATAGCATTTCATAATTATAAAATTATGTATCCGCAAGTCTCGCACGGTAATGCCCTCACAACGGCAAAGGCTGGTCAAAAAAGGACATTAAAGGTTAATGTTAACTAGTGGCCTGTCCATATCATTTATAAAACAAGTTTTATTTAATAACTACGTAATAATGTCAATAATATTAGTTGCCATTAATCATGTGTGAGTTGAATGCGCAAGAAAAACAAAACAAACGCTTTTTGTCCATCAGTCACGTTGCAAATATTGGCTGCCACTATGTGTTCTTTCAAGACTGCGGAACTCTTTTTATTTGTGAAGGCGAAGAAAAACCCCAAGCGATTTTAATAAAGTTTTTGCATGTTTGGTTAACTCTGAAATCGTTTGATGTAAAAGAAGGTTTGTGCGAATGACAGATGACCAGGAAATAATGATTTGCACTTGAAGTTGAACTAGCGATGAATAAATTATAGTCTGCGGTAGCAACTTGAAGTGTTTTTGATAAAGCATAAACTTATGCTGGACAAAATTTTTTCAGGGAGAGAATGTTTTTTTAACTGTTTGCGAAATTGAAATTGAATTTCGGATCGCCAACACTTGTAATGAATATTTCGTGAGGACATAAAGTTTTGACCAGCCAGACAGCGCGTCGCCAAGTTTTTATTTGTTATCATTTAAATTGCTCGAATTTACCTCTTGTTTTCACAAGTGAAAAAGGTTAAAATAGTAATGAATAAATCTTTCGGACCACAAATTACGGCCTTTTGGCGGGCTATACAAAATTACTACACGACTCTTTTTTTCGTATGGGAGAATTTGTACTTTATCAAAATCAAAAGAGCAGATTAGGTCACGTGCGAGACATCCAGGTGATGTACCAGGGTTGTCTCATTCTGATGTGAACCAAGAATAGAAGAGGTGTCACCTGTCGTTTCTACAAGTAAGCTTTACCCTGCTGAATGCTATTCAACGCAGCTTCACACTGGTTTCAGAAAAATGTAGTCAGGTTTAAAACAAATGATCTATATACCACAAAATGTCTCCTTTATAAGTTTTTTTGCGTTGTATATAAGTCTACTATGATGTACTGATATCGAACAAAAATACTTCAGAGGAGAGTTTCCCTTCAGTATCATGAAGAAGAACTGTATTAGGAATTGTTCATGGTAGTAAAAGTCATCTAGTTAATCATCACTAATAATTACATAAAAAGATTAACTGCAGTTATCGAAAATCATTATTCCAGTGAATTTCATTGTGCTAATTAAATATGCATATTAATGTCCGGTCAAATTGATGAGATGTCCCACCAAAATGAAGATTTGAAAGGACATATGTCCTGTTAATGGCGAAAAATTATTTCCAGAACTGCACTGTACATTTATATGCAGTTATATGCAGTTATATATATGCATTTATATGCATATAAATTTTATATTTATATGCATTTATATGCAGTTATATATACATATATATATGTTTGCAAAACGAGGTCGTTTACCAAGCCACAGTCGCTACCAGGGAAGAAACTGAAACTTACGTTGGCCTCACAGCGACAGATTTTAAGACTAGATGGCGCAACCACCAAATGTCGTTCAACCACGAGAGACGGCGAAATGACACAGAGCTGAGCAAGTACCTGTGGAAACTAAAGGAGAAGAGGGAAGACTATTCGATTTCATGGAAAATTATTGCTAGGGCTAGATCATATTCCAATGCCACAAAACGTTGCAATTTATGCCT